CCCGTCACAGGCTGTCTGTGCCTCCGCTTGCTCCCGAGGGGCATGATGATTGCCCCTACCTCCCGGGGATCTCCCAGATGTGAACCAACACACACGAGGCCCTGAGAACAGCGTCCAACATAGATGCTGTGCTTTACAGTAAGATTACCACTGGCACTATTCTCTGGAAATTCTGAATAACCAAGAGGGAGAAAAAGATACTGGGGACTCTCCTGAGATAAAGGCAGCCTCATCCTCTGATCACTTTACTGGAAAGTCCAAGACTCAACAAGCCCTGTAATGCAGCCATCTCTGGGGAGCCGTAAACTGGGTGAGGATCAGAGGCCGGCTTGAAGGGAGGGGCCCGAACAAGCAAACAGAAAACCCAGACAGAACAGGGAAAAGGTAAGCCCATAGGGAAGTTACTTGAGAGAGAAAAGAGGTTGCGTTTGTAAGACAGGATTGGAACTTTTAAAAGAACAGCCAAGGAAGAAGGAAGAACATCTTAGAACATAAATATAAGGTATTTGGATAGTCTAAATGAAAATTCAGCGGAGGACTGGAGGATGCAATCAAAGACATCTCCTAGACGGGAAAGCAAATGCCCTTGAGGCAAAAGGGAAAGTCTCAAAGTGGATCATTGTCCCATTTCTCAGGTTGGGGGTCACTAGGATCAGCTGAGGCCCCCGTTCAGAGCTGAGGAGGAGGACTTAAGGTGGCCATCACAGCTGCTTTTCTTCAGGATGTTTTTGGCTGTCCCAGGTCTCCGTGGCTGCATGACGGCTTTCTCTGCCTGCAGTGACGGGGCTGCTCTCTGGCCGCGGTGCAGCTCCTCGCTGGGAGCACGGGGCCCTGGGTGTGCGGCTGCATAGCTGAGGCGCCCGGCTCAGCTGCTCCCAGGCGCGTGGGATCTTCCTGAGCCAGGGCTCCAGTCCGTGTCCCGGCATTGGCATATAGATTCGCAAACATGGAGCCACCAGGGAAGCCCCTGCTCCCTCGTTCTGTCCTGGGTCTGCATGCACTTGATGCTCATTTTTACTTCCAGTGCTCTTGCAGCTGTTTCCCTTCTATTAGATATTGTTTACAGACTTTCATCTATTGTTTATAGATAACCCTTCATTGCTTTCTTTTGCTTAATAAAACAATATGTAGTACAATATTGAGAAAACAACACAGCACGTGTACGTTCACCACTGCAGCCATGAAATGAAGACACTTGCTCCTTGGAAGGAAAGCTATGTCAAATCTAGACAGTGTATTAAAAAACAGAGACCTCACTTTGCTGACAAAGGTCTTTATAGTCAAAGCTGTGGTTTGACTATCCCAGTGGTCATGTACGGATGTGAGAGTTGGACTATAAAGGAGGCTGAGCAGCGAAGAACTGATGCTTTCAAACTGTGGTGCTGGAGAAGACTCTTGAGAGTCCCTTGGACTGCAAGGAGATCAAGTCAGTCAGTCCTAAAGGAAATCAACCCTGAATAATCGCTGGAAGGACTGATGCTGAAGCTGAAGCTCCAATATTTTGGCCACCTGATTCGAAGAACTGGCCCATTGGAAATGACCCTGATGGTGGGAAAGATTGAAGGCAGAAGGAGAAGGGGGCGACAGAGGATGAGGTGGTTAGATAGCATCACCAACTCAATGGACATGAATTGGCGAAAACTCTGGGAGATAGTGAAGGGCAGAGTAGCCTGGTGCACCGCAGTCCACGGGGTCTCGAAGTGAGACATGACTTAGTGACTGAACAACAACAACAAAAAATGCACCACTCAGAAATGGCAATCACAGCTCACACCTTTTTGTGTCTGTTCTGTGCATATTGCCAACAGACATGAGGTTCTGTGAATTTGTACGATACAAATTTATATCTCTGTTTTAAATTCATGTTGTTTCATGAACATTTAAAAATGGTTTATATACATGATTTTAAACAATTCCGTGATAGCATATCATTTGAAGGTAATGTATTTTATTTGACTATTTGCCTATTGTTGCGTATTTAGTAGTTTATACAACTAAGACAAAAGTTCATTTTGCTTGTCTGTTACTGCACCACATCAAAAATTACACAACAGATTTTCACCAAACTGGGGGATTATGTTTGGTATTCATTCAAGTACATAGATTCAAAGTGTAGGCTATGAAGAAGAGAGTATATTCATGTCTTGGAACTTGACAGAGAAATGATAGGGAAGGGAAAATAATTTTCCTTCTACCTTTCTGAGTTCTAGACTAGAACCTTATGTGACGAAAGACATTAACAAGAGAAAAACAAACATATTTATTAACATGTATACCTCATATGTACACAGAAAAAACCCAGGAAAACTGAGTAACTCCAAGATGGCTCAAGCCACCACTATAAGTACCATTTAGCTAAAGACAAAAAAAGATGTTAACAGAGAACTATATTCAGTATCCTGTGATAAAGCATAATGGAAAAGAATATTTTAATATATATGTATAACTCAATCATTTTGCTGGACAGCAGAAATTAACACATGGTAAATCAACTATACTTCAATTTTTTTAAAAAGCTCATGTAACTATGAAAAAAAAAAACCAATTGGTGCAAAAAGAAGGCCAGCTATGGCAGGTTACCAGGGGAAGCATGGTAAGCAAGGGTAAGGTTTATTACACAGTTTAAATTGGTAAATTCTCCATTGATAAGTTTCTGGACATTTAGATCCAAACTTCTCTTCCTCATACAGAGAAGGAGACACGTTTATAAGTAACCTCTTTTGTGAAAAGCATGCAGTCCTTACAGAAGGGCAGCTTCTACTCCGTTTTCAGAGCTGTGCTCATGTCTGCTACTTATTAAAGCAATCAGTTCAACATAATCCTTATGCCCAAGAGGCACGTTTGGGGGTGGCGAGTTCTGCATCCTTCATACCTCAAGCTGATGAGCAGGCATCCTTGAGAAGAGCTCCGTGACTGGAGGCGATGAACACATGTATTATGATGACGCCACAGACGGAAATCAGATATGATGGCTTCCATCTTTGTGCCCCGCATCAAACAACATGAGGACATCCAAACCTGATTATAGCTACTGGTTTGGAGTCAAACTGCTTTCCAAGTGGGCAACTCTGGGAGGAATATCGAGGGTATTTCTGTCCAATAAAATGTTTGCATGATGGAAACCTGGAATATCTACTGTCAAACCCTCGAAGGGAAGTGGATGAGGGACATCAGGCCATTCCTTCCATCTCTCTAATCATCTGTCATCTGGAGAGTAACTGCTCTGGGTGTCCCCAGCTTTAGGAAGTAATCTTCCCATTAAATATTTAAAAGAATGGTTGGTGCTTATATAACATGCATGGTAAGAGAAACTTTATGTTCCCTGATACCTCTGAGATTTCTTCTAATTTCCAGCTGAATTAAAGAATTACTTGTCTATCAAAATTAAAGGAAATGGAAAAGGTCACATATCTCTCCTCTCTTTTCCCCACTCTCTTCAGCTCAAGTTAGAACACAGTCCCTTTCCTTTTTTACACTGGATTCTTCTCCCTTTGTGTAGTTATAAGTAGAATTTACTCAAGATTTGGTGTAAAGGCTGGGCTGCGTGTCATTGGCCAGTTCTCATCCTGGGTCCCTGGCCTCTGACCTTATTGTTTCATCTTTCCCTTCGCTCACTTTTCCTTTTCTTTCTTCCTATTTTATTCTATTTTTTTTTTTTGTCATACCATGCAGCATGAAGGATCTTAGTGTCCCAAAAAGGGATCACACTTGTGCCCCTGCATCGGGAGCACAGAGCCCTGCCCAGTGGACCATCAGGCAAGTCTCCTCTCAATCTTACTAATCACCTCCGTCAATCCTTCCTTACTCTGTCCCATCAGGAGTTCCTCTTTTCTTCCATTTGTTGCTGTTGTTGGTTTAGTCACTCAGCTGTGTCCGACCCTTTTGCAACCCCATGGACTGTAGCCCACCAGGCAAGAATACTGGAGTGGGTTGCCATTTCCTTCTCCAGGGGATCTTCCTGACCCAGGGATCGAATATGCGTCTCCTGCATTGGCAGTCAAATTCTTAACCACTGAGCCAGGAGGGAAGCCCCACTCTTTGGCAAACGAACTAAATTCTCTGTCTGAGCATGTCTGTGGGCATCCTCTTTTGTACTCAGATGTCATCAAGATGCTCTCTTAATCTTTGTTGGTTCTCCCTCTAAGGGGAATTCTGCAGTTAACGTTCATCATAATAAAAAACTTCCACCTATTCATCTGTATCCATCTGTCTGTATTGTCATCCAGCCATCCCTCATTCATCTAATCGGTCTACCCCCTGCCAATGCCTGTAGAGTCATCCCTCCACCCAACTCTCAGCCTCTCTGCTTTTCACCGATTCTCCCCTGCCCCCTCCAGAGACCTAGAACACTCTTACGGGATTTCTTTCTCTTTGTTTTTTAAAGAGAAACTTATGCTTTGCAAAAACAGCTATCAGCTGCCTTGAAATGATAAAGGGGAAATGATAAAGGGCTGGGAATGAGCAGTTATAATCTTTGCTTGGGCAAGAGAAGGACAGATAAGACCCAGATTAGAAATAAGTGAACAAAGCCAAGTGAGGTTTGGACCATTCACAGAAGGAGCTGGCCAGGGGGCACATGTTCGCATATATCAAAAGCTAGGGTGTTGGCGGAAATACACCCATAATGCAAACACACGCATGCACACTCAGAAATACTTATAGTTTGTATTTAGCTTGAGTTCAGTCACAGTCCCACTGAACTGATATTAATAGAATAGCTGATAATTAACCTGTGAACTATGACAAGATATTTCTGAAAGCGAAATCCCGTAGCAAGTTGCAGAGTTCCTAAACTGTAAAATAAATAAATAAATAAAGGTAAACTTAAAATATACATAGCATATAATGTTTGTATTATACATCAGGATGGTTTTAGATTTGCTATTTGCTATTCCTATTTTTTCTTGTGTTAAGTAGTTGAAGTGTTAGAAGCATAGGCCAAATTGGAAATACATTCCCTGTACCCTCACAATGACCAATTACTGCTTTTCTCCCCTTAGGCAGGGAAAGTTCTTCCGATTGGATACAGAGTTGCAACCTGCTTGACTGAAAAATTTCCCAGGGTGAGTGTTTTCAATATGCAGTTGTCTGAACCTAAGGTAAACAATATTCAACATTCCTTATGCGAGTTGCATAACTTTAATGTGGTCCATTTGGATTTTTGTTTTACTGTATTTTAATAACCTCAGCTATGCAGATGACACCACCCTTATGGCAGAAAGTGAAGATGAACTAAAAAGCTTCTTGATGAAAGTGAAAGAGGAGAGTGAAAATGTTGGCTTAAAGCTCAACATTCAGAAAACTAAGATCATGGCATCTGGTCCCATCACTTCATGGGAAATAGATGGAGAGACAGTGGAAACAGTGTCAGACTTATTTTTTGGGGCTCCAAAATCACTGCAGATGGTGATTGCAGCCATGAAATTAAAAGAAGCTTACTCCTTGGAAGGAAAGTTACGACCAACCTAGACAGCATATTAAAAAGCAGAGATATTACTTTGCCAACAAAGGTCTGTCTGGTCAAGGCTATGGTTTCTCCACTGGTCATGTGTGGATGTGAGAGCTGGACTGGAAAGAAAGCTGAGCGCCGAAAAATAGATGCTTTTGAGCTATGGTGTTCAAGAAGACTCTTGAGAGTCCCTTGGACTGCAAGGAGATCCAACCAGTCCATCCTAAAGGAGATCAGTCCTGGGTGTTCATTGGAAGGACTGATGCTGAAGCTGAAACTCCAATACTTTGGCCACCTGATGTGAAGAGTTGACTCATTGGAAAAGACCCTGATGCTGGGAGGGATTGGGGGCAGGAGGAGAAGGGGACGACAGAGGATGAGATGGCTGGATGGCATTACTGACTCGATGGGCATGAGTTTGAATAAACTCCGGGAGTTTGTGATGGACAGGGAGGCCTGGCATGCTGTGATTCATGGGGTCGCAAAGAGTCGGACATGACTGAGTGATTGAACTGAACTGAACTGAACTGAAGACCTTCTGTAGAGTTTGAATGAGGAAGTGAAAATCCAAGGCTTACGATTTCCAGCTCTATGAAAACTACTGGATATTTCCATTTATTTAGATAGGAAATAGTCTTTAATGGTATGCTTCCTAACCTAAATACTTCCTGGTTGTTTTCTAAATATAACTCATTTTTATTGGAGTATAGTTGATTCATGATGATTTATGATGTTCTGTTAGTTTCAGAAATACAACAAAGTGAATCATATATATATATATATATATATATATATATATACCTATATCCACTCTTTTTTAGATTCTTTTCCCATGTAGGTAGAGTTCCCTGTGCTATATAATAGGTTCTTACTAGTTACCTATTTTATATACAGTAGTGTGTATATGTTAATCCCAAACTCCTAATTTATCCCCCACCTACTTTCCCCTTTGGTAATCATAATTCTACATCTGTGACTCCATTTCTGCTTTGTAGATAAGTTCATTTGTATCATCTTTATAGATTTCAGATATAAGGCATATCATGATATCTGTCTTTCTCTGTCTGACTTAGTGTGATAATCTAGTATGATATTTTCTAGATATAAGGCATATCATGATATGTCTTTTTCTGTCTGGCTTACTCAGTGTGATAATCTCTAGGTCTATCCATGCTGCTGCAGCTAAATATAACTTTAAAAATATGTTGCTTATTTCCATTAAAACCTTTCAGGATGTTTTATTATTGGGTGCTGGAGTTCCCCAGGTGCTTGTTACACTCATGTATAACAAGTTCATTGATTGGTATAGATCAGCCTTGCTGATATCAGTCAACTGTACTTGATGATTCTATTTTCTTCTCACTGTTGGCAGCTAATGACCCCACCTGAGGCAAAAAAATTTTTCAACTTCAGATATCCACCTGCTGGAGCCGAAAGAGTATTTTACGGCAGAGCAAATGATCCCCAAATCGCACCTTCCTTGACACACGGAATAAGATCGAAAACTTCGATGCCGGTAATTTCTTTTCTGTTTTTCCCTGTATGTTATTCACTTCCAAGGGGAAAATGCACAAATGGAGTGTTAGTGAAATCATCAGTCCCAACCTCCTTCCTGCTCTTAATGAAAAAATCCAAGCAGCTGTAGGCAAGAGCGAGTGCGGGAAAGTCAACGGCTTAAGCCCCAAAGTGCGTATAGTCCCCTTGGATGATAAAAGCCGAGCCACATTTCATTTTCCCACGGTAAAAAGGGGTGGGCTTCCCCAAGATAGCTCAGCTGGTAAAGAATCCGCCTGCAATGCAGGAGACCCCAGTTCCACCCCTGGGTCAGGAAGGTCCCCTGGAGAAAGGAAAGGCTACCCACTCCAGTATTCTGGCCTGAGAAGCCCATGGACTGTATAGTCCATGGGGTCGCAAAGAGTCAGACAAAACTGAGCGACTTTCACTCACTCAGAAAGAGAGATGCTGTCAAGGTTCGGTAAAGCGCGACAACGACAGAGGCTGAGACGTCAGCGCGCTGTGTGTGCTGTGTGTGCACTGTGTGTGCTGTGTGTGTGCTGTGTGTGCACTGTGTGTGCTGTGTGTGTGCTGTATGTGCGCTGTGTGTGCACTGTGTGTGCTGTGTGTGCTGTGTGTGCACTGTGTGTGCTGTGTGTGTGCTGTGTGTGCTGTGTGTGCGCTGTGTGTGCGCTGTGTGTGCACTGTGTGTGCTGTGTGTGTGCTGTGTGTGTGCTGTGTGTGCTGTGTGTGCGCTGTGTGTGCTGTGTGTGCGCTGTGTGTGCGCTGTGTGTGCTGTGTGTGTGCTGTGTGTGCTGTGTGTGCACTGTGTGTGCTGTGTGTGTGCTGTGTGTGCTGTGTGCGCTGTGTGTGCTGTGTGTGCGCTGTGTGTGCTGTGTGTGTGCTGTGTGCGCTGTGTGTGCTGTGTGCGTGCTGTGTGCGCTGTGTGTGTTGTGTGTGTGCTGTGTGTGCGCTGTGTGTGCTGTGTGCGCTGTGTGCGTGCTGTGTGCGCTGTGTGCGCTGTGGGTGCGCGGGGTCCCCGTGTCACCTGCCTCTGACTGAGTGGACACTCCGGGGCAGAAGGCCGGCTCTCGCACCTGCAGGGAACCTGTGGGGCTCTCGTGGCTCTTGTGCTCCTCATTCCCACTCCTCTGGAATATTCGAGCTGCGGAACCAGGGAGCTGCCCTCGTAAACACTTTAGCCTCAGTGAAAAGTCATGTTTCGACACGTCTAAGCTGCACAGTCCCAATCCGATGGTGGGTTTGAAGGTGAATCAAGGCAACGATCATGAAATGTTTTTCCACTATCATATTCTCTTCTCCCTGGCTGTTGAGTTTCAATGTTCAGATTTCTTTCTTTCTTTCTTTTTTTGTTGTTACATCTTTGCTTTGTATGACTTCTTTAGGCAAAGGTATTGATCAACCCACAGCCTATAACAACATTTCAACAGAAAATGAAAGATAAAAAGGAATCAGTATATTTTAGCAATCGACGGGCACCGTTAGGAAAATCTCATGATCAGACGCCAGGATTGCCTAAAGGCCTGGACTTACTCAATACGACATTTGGGACGGCAGTCGTCAGAGGTAGTGAAAATAAGGGGTGGGAGGGAGTGATAAAATGTTTTCTTAGAAAATGGGATTCAGTATCCTGTTGGGATTTATTTAGTGCTGGTGCAGATGATGTCAGGAATGAAAGACAGGATCATAGCAAGAAAGTTACTCTCAGGCCCGGAGGCCTTAGAGCTGATGTGTGTCAAGGCCGTGGGGTCAGGGTTTGGAGAAGAGGTTCAGGGCGCAGAGCAGAGACGCTGCAGTTACAGGAAAGGGACTCAGGAACGCTGAGACCGTGAGGGCTGCCATCCCTTCCTCCTGGGCATCTACTGATGGGTTTTATTTCCACCAATGCCTCTGATGTGCTTGTACCTCTCAACTCTTTTTAAAAAACTTCTTTTTAAATTGAAGAGCAGTTGATGTACAAATGTTCTGTTGATTCCTGCTGTATATATGCATTCTTTATATATACATGTTTTTGTATTCTTTTCCATTGTGGTTTATCCCAGGAGACTGGATATAGTTGCCTGTGCCATACCAAGGACTTTGTCCCTTATCTATCCTGTATGTAACAGCTTCCCTCTGCTAATCTGAAACTCCCAGTGCTTCCCTCCCCCAGACCCCTCGCCCTTGTCTGTTCCCTAGGTCAGTGTGTAACTCTCAATTCTTTATGAAACTCGGTTTCATACAATAGACCACGGAACAGAGAGGTTTGGCAAATGCTGCATACAGTACTCATTCATACCAGTCCACGATGTGTACCTGCTTATTAAGCGAACAGGCAGTGTCAGGGCAGACTCCTCTCTCATCTGGAGAGGGGGTGGCGCATGTATTTCAACAAGTGACTTACCATTAGTTACAGGCCATTTTTCTTCCTCTGCCTCCCTGCCTCCTGCCCCCTTGGGTACTTTCCTTTAAGTACCTTCTCACATCCTGCGTTTTTAGGTCCCTTACCCTCCCCCTCCAGTGCTATCATTACAGGGGACCTCACATTCTGTCTCTTTATCATCCTGCTGAGAAATGTGCTTCTCTCTGTCTTTCTGCACCCACTGAGGCTTTGCTCCAGGAACCTTATCTTTCTTACCAAAAGGTCCATTAGGGTGTTTTTTCGTTCACATTGTAGTATCTGTTCTGGAGATAAATTATGCCTTTGTCTTAGAAGGCAAAATCTTCACTTGTACTTTATTGTATCACATATAAAGTTAAAATTTGTTAATATTTGAAATATTAAAATTGTATTTTAGAAGAGGTAAAATATCTTTTTTTCCTTTTAAATAGGATCAAAAAATTGTATTTAAGCAGATAGAACATTACAGAATTACCGTAGTTATATCATAACTGCTATCTAGGATTAGCTCATTTAATATGAAAAGTACTCATTTATATATGTAATAGAAGGAATGCTCCAGAACACGTGAATGTGTATTAATAGGTGTAATGGTTCCTACATCAAAAGAAAAGCACTGCTTTACAGGATTATTCTGCACAGGACCACCTTCCAGATTCTTAATGGTTTGTTTACAAACTGTCTTGGCAGACAGTCCAAAAGAAAGAAAACACCTCAATGTATGTTGTTAGGTACAAAGAGAAAACTGCAAATGGAATTATATTTAAAAATCATTATAGAAAATAATAAAGACAAAATAATTCGCTGTATATATGGCCAGGAACTACCAGTCCTGGGAAAGCAGCTATTCAACAAAGACCTTCTAGCTCTAGGTTTGGGGCCAGAAGGAAGAAGAGTGTCTTCCTGATGCCAATGATTTCCCTGGCACCTTGGGCCTGTTCAAAGATGGATATTCGAATCTACAGATTCAGGATGTGCACTGTAGTCTATAGCTGCCAAAATTTATATCAAGGCATCCCCACAGGGCACCAGGGCTTATGACGCTGATTTGTGATTCAAATTTGCCTAGATCATCTTGGAAGTCTGGAGCAAACTGAAATAAAAATTATCCTGAGATCCTTAGAATTGGGCATTTAATTGGGCTTGGCATGTGGCTCAGGACGACCAAAGTGGTTACCATTCTTCAGAACTCTAGGGAGGGAGCCTATTCAAGTGGGGGTCCCTGAGACCATCACACCTGGGCCATTCCTGTCTCTGGTGGTCAGTCTCCGTGTGTGCTGGCTTTGTGCCCCTGGAGCTTATGCAGTCAGCATACCTAGTTGGTCATTTGCTCTAGTCAATTTAAATGTCACAAAGAGATGAAAAGTATCTTAAAACTGATTTCATTCATTCTTTCTTCAGAAATGTCCGCTCGAGATATGGTGAATCCACCAAAACCCTATAAAGAGGTATTTGAAGCAGCACAGGCAGGCCACGATCTGTATATTGTATCTCACAATGATTATTTTGCAGGTAAGTCTCCTCCAGTGTAAAACAGGCCTGCGAATATGACATCCAGACTTGTGAAGAGGGATAGGGAGATGATGAACTTAAAGATGAAATGCCTGGTTATGCTATAGACTAATTCTAGTAAAGCATGCTAAGTCATTTCAGTCCTGTCCGACTCTGTGACCCTATGGACTGGGGCCTGCCAAGCTCCTCTGTCCATGGAGATTCTCCAGGCAAGAAGACCGGAGTGAGATGCCTTGCCCCGCTCTAGGGAATCTTCCGACCCAGGGATCAAACCTGCATCTCATTATGTCTCCTGCATTGGCAGGTGAGTACTTGACCTATATTGACATCTGGGAAGCCCAGCTTACAAGGTTACAAACCCTGATATCTGGGAACATATACCCTTATAAAATGTATGAAAGTATATATCATTAAAACAACAAAAAGAAGAAGTTAAGATTAAATGCTAGGTAGTCTAATCTTGTGTGAGTGGATTTCGGCTTAAAAAAATACCATTTTTAATATCAAGATTATTCTAAGTGCTTCACTTCATATAAGGGATATTAGTTACTCGTCAAGTGCAGTAATTTTTGAATCATCAAGTTTAAGGTATTGCTTACCATCTATTATCTTTTAGACCTTGAATATTTTACTTATCATCATCTATTTTAAATTTCTTAAATAGGTAGGGATAATAATATTGTGTGGATGAAGTGAGTGCCTGCAAAATGCCAAGCATGGTGTCTGGAACATAGTTAGGGCTCAGTAACTATTATTATTAGTAGTAATAGTAGTGTTAGTATTAAGTAATGTGACTAAAAGTAGCTTATTATTAGAACTGGGGCTTCCCAGGTGGCATTACTGGTAAAGAACCTGCCTGCCAATGCTGGAGACATAAGAGACGTGGGTTTGATCCCTGGGTCGGGAAGATCCCCTGGAGGAGGAAATGGCAACCCACTCCAGTATTCTTGCCTGGAGAATCCCATGGATGGAGGAGCCTGGTGGGCCCCAGTCCACATGGTCACAAAGAGGCAGACACAACTGAAGCGACTTAGCTTGTATTAGGAGAATTATTCTATAGCATAACCAAAAGGCATTGGATGTTTAAGTGCTGTGAAGTACAACTTAATTGTTGACCTGTGTGAGCTAAGTAGAATTTTGATTTAACAGAGGATTGAGAATTAGACTCTAATACACGTCCTGAGAATGGATAAGGGCATGGCTATCCACTCCAGTATTCCTGCCTGGGAAATCCCATGGACAGAGGAGCGTGGTGGGCTCCAGTCCAAGGGTCTGCAAAGAGGGGAACACGACTGAGCGACTGGGCACAGTCTCCTGAGAGAGCGGCTGGGTTGCGCCCGATTCACTAGCTGGTCAGCCTCCCCCGGCTCTGTCTTACTTTTCTCCTCACCGCCCCTCCGGTCCCTTCCTCCTGAACCCCGCCGACAGCCGGGGCTGTCTCCCAGGCGCTCCACTCCACGCGCGGCTTCTCTTGGTCTCTGCGGGTCGTTACACGGACCCCGGGCCCTGGGTGGGCTCCGCCGTCACGCGCCCCGGATCCCGGCCCTGGGTGGGCTCCCCCGTCACGCGCCCCGGACCCGGATCCTGGGTGGGCTCCCCCGTCAGGCGCCCCGGATCCCGGCCCTGGGTGGGCTCCGCCGTCACGCGCCCCGGATCCCGGCCCTGGGTGGGCTCCGCCGTCACGCGCCCCGGATCCCGGCCCTGGGTGGGCTCCCCCGTCAGGCGCCCCGGACCCGGATCCTGGGTGGGCTCCCCCGTCAGGCGCCCCGGACCCGGGCCCTGGGTGGGCTCCCCCGTCACGCGCCCCGGATCCCGGCCCTGGGTGGGCTCCGCCGTCAGGCGCCCCGGACCCGGATCCTGGGTGGGCTCCCCCGTCACGCGCCCCGGACCCGGATCCTGGGTGGGCTCCGCCGTCACGCGCCCCGGATCCCGGCCCTGGGTGGGCTCCCCCGTCACGCGCCCCGGACCCGGGCCCTGGGTGGGCTTCCCCGTCAGGCGCCCCGGACCCGGGCCCCTGGTGGGCTCTATCTTCACACGCTCCGGACCCGGATCCTGGGTGGGCTCCCCGGTCAGGCGCCCTGGACCCGGGCCCTGGGTGGGCTCCGCCGTCACGCGCCCCGGACCCGGATCCTGGATGGGCTCCACCCTCCCGCCCGCCCCGTCTCCCGGCCTCCGAAGGCTTCTCTCCCGCCTGCTGCACCGCTGCTCCCCCCGCCCTCGCTCCTTTTCCTCCCGCTGGGCCTTTTGTCTTTATGTCTTTTTGTCTTCCCTCTGTCCATTTCTTGTGAAAATATTTTATTCCTTTTTGGAAAAAGTTTAGCATGGATAGCACAGTCTAATCCAATGCCGTTTAACTGTTTTAAAAAGAACCGTATCAATGAATATATAGAGACAACCTTTTAGGAGACATCTAAAATACCTTTAGCAGTTGGAGGAAAATGAGTCTAGTTTTAAAAATATTTAATTATTTGCTTATAATGTTTATAAGTTTGCTTATAATGTGTTAGTTTCTGGCGTACAGCAAGTGATTCAGTTATACACATGAGTGTTCTTTTCCATTATGTCTTATTATAGGATATTGAGTATTCTTCCCAGTGCTGTACAGTAGGACCTTTTTGTTTATCCATAATATATACAATATATAATTTTCATCTGCTGGTCCCATACTCTCCAACTTTTTTTTCTTATATTTAGAAAAGCTCTCATGGACTATAACATGGCTGAAATTATTTTTATTTTTTGATTTTTATAAAAGTTTCACTAGCCTCTTGAAAAGAAATAGAATACAATCCTTTAAATATCTGTTTTTACTTTTTCCCATTAATGAAAGCATTTTATTTTTTATTTTTTTAAATTAAATTAAATTTTTTTTACAATGTTTTATTTTTATTTTTTTCATTTATTTTTATTAGTTGGAGGCTAATTACTTTACAGTATTGTAGTGGTTTTTGCCATACATTGACATGAATCAGCCATGGATTTACATGTGTTCCCCATTCTGAACCCCCCTCCCACCTCCTTCCCCATCCCATAGCATTTTATTTTTTTAATAAAATATATAATAATTGTCGAGAATGTAAAAAAAATAATTGTCGAGAATGTAAATATCATGGAAAAATGGAGAAAAAGTAAATGTAACCCTGAAATCCCATTAGCCAGAGGTCACCACACTTGATATACTGAACATGTTTCTAAGCCCATCCACTGAGCTGTTGTCTTCAGTTAAATGTTATAATAATCTCCATTCTTTTGGGGAAGCTGCCATATGCATTTAAAATTTTTTATTTAAAATAATGTGTCAAGGACACCATTCAATAACAACCTCTTTAAATATACTTAATTTAGATTACTACTAAAGTTATATTTTCTTTTATAAATGCAGGCTGCATACGGACTTCCTTTTCAGTCCAGTGGTTAAGATTCCACTGCAAGGGGTGTGGGTTTGAGCCCATCTTAGGGGGTTAAGATCCCCATACCTCGAAGAGTGGCCAAAAAAATTAAAAAAAAAATACAGGCTACATAGAAATACATAAAATACAAAGAAAATCTAAAATCCCCAGTCACAGATGATACTTTGATTTATGTTTTTCTTTGCCGTTTAGAGAGGAGTTAATGTGTTTATGCTTGTCTTTTCAGGTCACTTGCCAATATTGTATTTTTCAGCGTTAGAGAAGTGTACTGGTTATCTATCTTTATGAACACAGTTTGCTTCTTTAGGACTCAGCCCTCGATTTCTGTAGCTCTCACTCTTGAGCCGGGCCGCCCCCCTGAACCGCGCCCAGCCTGCCCTTGTGCCCGCTGTGTGTGAGACTGCCATCCCCGGCATCCTCCACACTGACGAGCTTTGCCTGTCTTTAGGTTTTGCTCAACTGAGAGACGAATTGTGACTGCATGCTATTGCTTTTGCTTACCTCATTTGTGTTACGAGTGAGACTGAATAGCTTTTTCCTTATCATTTCATAACCTCTTGTGTGCATGCATGCTCAGTCATGTCTGACTCTTTGCAACTCCGTGGACTGTAGCCTGCCAAGCTCCTCTGTCCAGTAACCTTTTAGCTCACCTCTAGTTTCAGTCTTACTTTCTTACCTATAAATAGAGAACTAATACCAGATCATACTTGAAAAAAATACAGCATTAGGTCTTGAAGACCTCCCTGCTGGGTTCTCAGCCCTCAATCACCCTTAGAATGTCTGCGGTAAGCGATTATAATGAAATGTGAGGGTTGTTATACAAATCTCACTGAGAGCGACTCTAAAATACCAGCCTCTCAGGTCTTCCACGGTGGTCCAGGCTAAGACTTGGGGCTCCCTCTGCAGGAGCTGGGGGGGTGGGGGGATGGGGAGGGAAACAGTAAAAGTAAAAGACCGACCTCTCAGATCTTAGCAGAGCGCAAAGCACCACTGGAGGCCCAAAGCCCCGCAGCACTTCCCCTGATCTTCAGAATCTCTTTAACATTGATGGGGCCTGAATTTTTCATTTGTGTGTCTTTCTCTACATCATTTTTCTACTTCCTGAGTATCTACACGAGGAACTCTTGCTCCACCCTCTCCCAGCTCTCATGGGAGAGTGCCTCTGTCATCTGTCGCCAAATCTGGAGTTTCCTGCACTGTTACAATGTCACTCTTTCTCCCACTGGCATATTCCTTGTTACTGAGAACATCATGTGCCTCTTGCATAAAGCTGTGTTGCTTAAGTCAGAAGTCTTCCCTTTTCTTTTCTTAGGAGAAGCAAAGAACCGGAAGTATAACCCATCAAGTTTTCATAGATTTAACTTATATGGGATCCCAACACCACATTTTAATGATGGACGAAACATGGCAAAAACTTTACATTGGCTTCATGAACTACAAATGTAAGTATCTTGTGTCTTGGAACAAGTGTTAGATAAATGGCATACAGACTTAAAAGTTAATTAAATTTGTTTTTTTTTTTTTAAGAGGTAATGCATTGACATGGTTCAAACATAAAAATAATATAAAAAGATACACAGTGATATGTCTTCTAAACTATCCAGTTCCCCCAGAGATCACCATGATACTGGTTTTTCGTTTGTTTGTTTTTGACCATGTGGCTTGCAGGACTTGATTCCCCCACCAGGGATTGAACCTAGGCCCCTTGCTGTGGAAGCACAGAGTTCTAACCACTGAACAGGCAGGGAATTCCTTGTGTGTGATTCTGAAGTTATTTCATGCCTTTTCAGCAGATCAGAGGACTTCCTTGGTGGCTCAGATGGTAAAGCGTCTGCCTACAATGCGGGAGACCCGGGTTCAATCCCTGAGTTGGGAAGATCTCCTGGGGAAGGAAATGGCAGCCCACTCCAGTATTCCTGCCTAGAGAATCCCATGGATGGAGGAGTCTGATAGGCTACAGTCCATGGGGTCACAAAGAGTTGGACATCACTCAGTGACTTCACTTATACTTTCAGCCGATCAGAAGACATACATGAATTGTTTTTTATCCATGGGACCCACCCTGCTACGTTCCTTAAAGATCGTGGACTTTTGGGTAGATTGTCTCTACAATGATGACATTGTGTAATTCACGTGTCATCTATCATTCAACTTTCTTTAGTAGTTAGTTGGGCACCTGAGCACCTGACTTAACTCTTACAAACTGTGACCTGTTTACACCTGCATTCTACACTTGACTACTTTCCTAAGATATTAAAATAAGTTTCCTTAGTTTTTCATTTTTTGTCTTATATCTAAGGCAACAAACAAAGTAAAATCCTCTATTTCCTACTATGCTGAAAAAAATCAGAGGCTTGAAAATGCTGGTGTAGTGGGTTGAATAGTAGCCTTCAAAGATGTCCACGTTCTAATTCCAAGAACCTGTGACGGTTATCTTATATGGGAAAAGGGTCCTTGTAAATGCAATGCAGTGAAAGATCTTGAGATGAAGAGATCATTTTGGATGATCTGTGCATGTGTGCTAAGTCGCTTCAGTCATGTCTGACTCTTTGCATACTGCAGCCCTCCAGGCTCCTGTGTCTGTGAGATTCTCCAGGCAAGAATATTGGAGTGGGTTGCCGTGCCCTCTTCCAGGGGCTCTTCCCCACCCAGGGACGGAACCCATGTCTCCTGTCTCCTGCATTGGCAGGCAGCTTCTGTACCACTAGCGCCACCTGGGAAGCCCCTGGATGATCTGGGTGGGGCCAAAATCCAGTAGTAAGTGTCCTAATAAGGGAAAGGCTGAGGGAGATGTAAGACAGAAGAAGAGAAGACATGTGGATTAGGCCGTTAGGTGAAGATGGCAGAGGCAGGAATGATGTGGTGTTGAGCAAGGAAGGCCAGAAATGCAGCGGCCTCCAGATGTTGGAGGAAGCGATGAACAGGGTCTCCCCAGAGCCTTCAGGGGGCATGTGGCCTGGCTGTCACCGCGGTCTCAGACTTCTGGTCTCTAGACCTGTGGGAGAATACGTTTCTACTGTTTTAAGCCACAAGCTTGTGCTAATTTGTCCTCGCAACCCCAGGAAATGAACATATGGGACCTGCATTTCTATACATTCAGTGGTGGGAGTGGATTTGTTTTGCCCTCTACCCTTTGTTTCTAAAAAGTTTTTTCATTTGTAATTTTTTAAGATTAATTTTTAGCGGCGCATTGTTGACGTACAGTGTTGTGTGAGTTTCGGGTGAACAGCAGGGTGAATCCGTTATAGACCCACGCACATGTAGATTCCTGTTTCTGCGAGGTCCTTTTCCCGAACAGGTCATCAGCGAGGACCGGGCGGAGCTCCCTGTGCTGAACAGTAGGCCTTCTTAATCATCTGGTTTATAGACGGTGGTGTCTGGATGCCAGTCCCAATTTTCCAGTTTACCCGCTGCTTTCCCCCTGGTGACCTTCAGTTTGTTTTCTCCATCTGCTTCCCAGGTGGCGCTAGTGGTGAAGAAAGTGAAAATGAAAGTCACTCAGTCGTGTCCACTCTTTGCAACCCCATGGACTATACAGTCCATGGAATTCTCCAGGCCAGAACACTGGAGTGGGTGTAGAACCTGCTACAAATGCAGGAGACGTAAGAAACATGGCCTCGATCCCTGGATCAGGAAGACCCCCTGGAGGAAGCCATGGCAACCCACTCCAGTATTCTTGCTGGAGAATCCCATGGACACAGGAGCCAGCGAGCTGCCGTCCATGGGGTCACAAAGAGTCAGACACGACTGAAGTAAGCTAGCACGCAAGCTACATCTGTGACGCCGCTTCTGTTTTGTGAATAAGTTCATTTGTACCAGGTTTCGAGCCTCTCTGCCCTCTTTAAAGATTACACTGCCCTCCTCCAAATTTCCACCTGCCGCATCAGGCATACATGTTTGCTTCCCCCAGGCACCCAATATGCCTGTCTCACTTGCTTGTCTGAGAGCTGAGATGGCAGCCCCCAGTTATAGAGGCAAAGTGCTAAGTACTTTATATATGATTACTTTGATCCTGCCTACAGCAACTCTAGGAGGTAGCCGTACTGTAATTCTTAGCCTTTCCATTTTACAGATGAAGAAACTGAGGTACAGAGAAGTTAAGTCCTGTGCCCGAGATCACACAGGTCAGTGCTAGGGGTAGGGCTGAAACCCAGCAGTGTCTCTCCAGAGGCCGCCCTTAGCACTGCACCAAGACTGTAGGCACTGACTCTGTGATCACAGGCTGAAACCGGGATTTCCATTCTTCTTCCACTCCCTTATTATTTAATATATGAATTTTTGATATTTGAATTATTCAAAGCAATAATGGTAGAGCACAAAGAGAAGAAATTCTTTCCTGGGTAGCCTTTCCCTTCTCCAGGGGATCTTCCTGAGCCACAGATCGAACCCTGGTCTCCCGCATGGCAGGCCTTCTTTACCACCTGAACCACCAGGGAAGCCCTTCCATATTTTAGAAAAACTATAGGAGACAGTGTTTTTTTTGTTTTTTTTTTCTTTAGGATATAGAAGAGCTCCTAAAACAAACATTCATTAATTTATCACTATTAAAGTGGTGAAAACATACGTAAAGGAAAAGATGAAGAAATTATTTAACTTGACTAGATCAGTTCAGTTGTGTCTGACTCTGCGACCCCATGGACCACAGCACGCCAGGCCTCCCTGTCCATCACCACCTCCTGGAGTTTACCCAAACTCATGTCCATTGAGTCAGTGATGCCATCCAGCCATCTCTTCCTCTGTCGTCCCCTTCTCCTCCTGCCTTCAATCTTTCCCAGCATCAGGGTCTTTTCAATGAGTCAGTTCTTCGCATCAGGTGGCCAAAGTATTGGAGTTTCAGCTTCAGCCTCAGTCCTTCCAATGAACACCCAGGACTGATCTCCTTTAGGATGGACAGGTTGGATCTCCTTGCAGTCCAAGGGACTCTCAAGAGTCTTCTCCAACATCAGTTCCAAAGCATCAGTTCTTCGGCGCTCAGCTTTCTTTATGGTCCAACTCTCACATCCATACATGACTACTGGAAAAATGATAACTTTGGCTATATGGACCTTTGTATGTAAAGTAATGTCTCTACTTTTTAATATGTTGTCTAGGTTGGTCATAGCTTTTCTTGCAAGGAGTAAGTTTCTTTTAATTTCATGGCTGCAGTCACCATCTGATTTTGGAGCCCAAGAAAATAAAGTCTCTCACATTGTTTCCCCATCTATTTGCTATGAAGTAATGGGACCAGATGTCATCATCTTAGTTTTCTGAATGTTGAGCTTTAGGCTTCTCCGGTAGCTCAGGCGGTAAAGCGTTCTACCTGAATGCTGAGCTTTAAGCCAACTTTTTCACTCTCCTCTTTCACTTTCAAGAGGCTCTTTAATTCTTCTTTGCTTTGTGCCATAAGGGTGGTGTCATTTGCATATCTGAAGTTATTGCTATTTCTCCCAGCAATCTTGATTCCAGCTTGTGCTTGGAATTAAGCATATTCATTTACAGCTCATTTTTTTGGTTTCTATTTCCTTCTTTTTTGTCTTGTTATTTTTAATTGAAGTATAGAAAGAAAGAAAGTGAAGGCACTCAGTCGTGTCTGACTCTTTGCGACCCCATGGACTACCCACCGGCTTCTCCGTCCCTGGGGTTCTCCAGGCAAGAATACTGGAGTGGGTTGCCATTTCCTTCTCCAGGGGATCTTCCTGACCCAGGGATCGAGCCTGGGTCTCCTGCAATGCAGGCACAGCCACCGGGGAAGTGCAACTGAAGTCTGGTTGGTTTATGATGTGTTAATTTCAGGTACTCAACAAGGGGTTCAGTTATACATAAATATATATATATATATATAAAATATATAGTTTTTCAGATTCTTTTCCATTGTCAGTTATTAGAAGATATGGAATATAGTTCCCTGTGCTAAACAGGGCCTACTGTATAGCAAAGGGAACTATATTACCTGCTATATATACTGGTTATCTATTTTATATATAGTATGTAGTATGTATATGTCAATCCCAAATTCCTAATTTATACCTCCGTTCCCCTTTGGCAACCGTTAAGCTTGTCTTCTACGTCTGTGAGTCTATTTCTATTTTGCTTACATCTTAATGTGATATGCACTATTCAATGTATATTTGCCTCCAGTTCAGTTCAGTTCAGACTCAGTCGTGTCTGACTCTTTGAGGCCCATGAACCGCAGCATACCAGGCCTCCCTGTCCATCACAAACTCCCGGAGTCCACCCAAACTCATGTCCATCGAGTCGGTGATGCCATCCAGCCATCTCATTCTCTGTCATCCCCTTCTCCTCCTGCCTTCGATCCTTCCTAGCATTAGGGTCTTTTCCAATGAGTCAGCTCTTCACATCAGGTGGCCAAAGTATTGGAGTTTCAGCTTCAGCATCAGTCCTTCCAATGAACACCCAGGACTGATCTCCTTTAGGATGCACTGGTTGGATCTTCTTGCAGTCC